CGCCTGTGATTCTTTCAACTGTAAACAAACTGAATATATCCCTGTTGTTACTATATATATAGGTGACAAATCATTTATCCTAAAAATCAAATTCAACATTTTTTTTTTTTGGAAACGCATATCCAGAGATTAAACTTCGTGTTTTCTTCATATGTCCTTTCAGGATTCGCAGTCATTCTCTATACAAGAACAAAATTCCTAAACTGCTTTTACTGCCGCAAGGACTATATTGGTTAAATAAGTTGATGTTTTCAACAAAAAATTGTGGAGTATTCATCGTCTAACATACATGTATATAATAACTGGCGGGTCCTACTGAATACACAAGCTTGTGATGCTGAAATTATGAACATGTCGAGTTTCTATTTGTAGAGTGAGGCAGTTTGTGCCTTCAACTTATATAACAAAAACTTCACAAATGTGTATCCTATATCTAGTAAATAGAAAATATGAGAATTTTCAAGCGATTTAGATTTAATTTAAGGTATGAAAAACGTACATTGCAAAGTAAAGAAATATACATACAAAATATTATTAGATTATAATATTATTTGCAACGGTCCCTGTAGTCCCTGAACGTCATTTATAAGCCTTAGGCCTGAATATTTCCTTAATTCTATTAGTCGTCCAATACCAGTACTAGAATTTTTAGTTGAAAGGAAATAGGATTATTTAGCCACGTACGTGGTAGAAAATGGTTTGTAAATATTATTTATTGAATTTATTGTTTGGTGGGAACTATATCAAAATTTATTTATTTTTTAGTTTTAACTTACTCTATTAAACTTAAAATAATAACTATTTTATTTTTTAATATTTAAGTTTTTGCAAGTTACTTGCTAAGACTTCCAAGTGGTAAATTAAGAGTCGTTCCATGATAGTGATACGAGTAATTACTTAAATGTGTTTATACAGTGTTTCAAACACAAAAGTATACTATTTATGATCCATGATAATACTGTTAACAGATGTATATTTAGTTTAAGGAAATGTTTGAAATTTAATATTACTTGGTAGTTCTGATTCGTTTTAAGAATATATTGAAATTTGGATGCTGCGTTGGTGTTGTAGTGGTAATTCACTAATTGTATTTGTAGATTATGTGTAGAACAATATTAAATATTTAAAACTTACTACACTGTCAAATATAAAATGCTATAGCATTACCTATTATATTTAGGTGTCATAATTGATCATACAGTATTCCTTCTGCTACAATTATATTTCTCATAACCCCCATTCAACATTGTTATATATATTCAAATTCGATGAAGAGGAACCCACTTTGAGACTAATAATGGCTGGAGATGGCTTGAATGGGTAATGAAGAAAAACTTTAATACAAGTTTAACATAGCAAATGCACAAGGTTTTGTCATAATCAACTGAAACAACTCATTGCTGAATCAAGAAAAGAAGTCTATACACAATAAGAAACAAAAAGGTACCTGATGATGACAAAACCTTGTCGAAACGTTGTACATTTGCTGTTATGTTAAACTTATATTAAAGTTTTTCTTCATTACCCATTCAAGCCGTCTCCAGCCATTATTGTTATATAAATGTTTGATGACATCATTAGAAGGCTCGCTGAATTCTAAATTTCAAGAACTTCCTTTAAATAATTTATATTATATCTCTACACTAATCTTAATTGGTTTCATTTTAATTCAAAAATCGTTCTTATTTATCTTTTTTTTCTTTAACTTATTCTTAGATTTGATAACTGTTCATATCGATGTTTACATTGAAATTTCTAACCAACAAATACCCATCACTCATCTGACCATACATAAGTTCTATTTGTCCTTATATTCAGTACAATCTTTAACAAATTCAGGGTATCAACATGTGTTATAAGGCAATTATTTTATTCTTAAATCAGCTTAAGAACAAAGTTTATATAGTACATACTACCAAATAGTGTCATACGTGTAGGCCTAATTTAAACAATTATTGTGTGTACATCATAAAAAAGAAATTTTTTTTTTCTTCTGAAGCTATAGGCATTAAATTTGATTTTTATATTCTGTTTATGATGATGGAGGTGAGTTAGATTGAGGGTGGGTAATTGAACATTTTGCATTCATTCTAATACAGTGTCATGGATTTTTATCCTGGAATTATTGTAACTTTGTATGCAGGAGTTTTTATAACTGTAACATTCACATACCAGGATGTACAGTAGAATAAAGCATGATTTTAATATTATACTAAGGAGATAGGGATTACATTGGGGCACAGTGGTATTCCTGGCTTCTGGTTGGAGTCACAAAAGGAATTCCACTTCTTTCAAAATGACAATTTAACTGCTATAAGCAGCACAGTTTTCCCAAACCAAGACGATCATTATTATTTTTTGTTCCTATGAAGCAAAAGTAGTAAGCCATGTATTTTTAAGTCTTCAGTCATTAAAATGTTGGGGCAAAAATAGTTTTTTTTAAAGGGGTTTTCACACGGTTATCATTAGAAACTTTAGAAATTCCACTCTTTCTCCATCATTATTCTTTACTGTACTGTAAGAACGTGTTTCTTGAGTTTAAAATCTCAACTTAGGACACCTGTCATGCCGATGGTGTTTGAATGCCTTTTCATTATGAATTTCGGACGTCGAATACCAATAAAAGTTTAGGAGTCATGCTATAGGTACTATTTTCTGTGTTCTATCTTCCGAGCTACAAAGACCTCTTTATTCTTATGTATTTTAGATTTTTTAAAACTTGAATTTGATTTACAGAAAATTAATTAAAGAATTAACAAAACATTAAGAACCTAACTTGTTTCAAACAAACCAAGCTTATCAGTATTTAAGGAAGAAGAAAAACTCTTCTCGGGACTATGTGTGTTCAATTTCAAAATGGTCCCGAAAGACCAACATTCACTAATAGTGGTAGAGTGCAAAAAATAAGTTGAAAAAAAACAACTTTTGAAACTCCCAGTGGCGCAGCAGTAAGTCTGAAGGTATATGATGATAACAAAAAAACAGGTTTTAATACCTACCTGTGTTGGACACAGCACAGATGGCCCATTGTATGTAGCTTTGTTCTTAACTACAAAAAAAAAAAAAAATCTTCTCAATAGATTTAAATTTAAATCCCATTTTATTATTAATTATTTTTTCTCTGTTTGTTAAATATTTCTCTTGATTTTCTTGTGTTGCCTCGATGGAATAATTTTGATTCATTGAAATTAATTTTGTAGCGAGTTTCATGAACACGTAATTCAAAAAATAATATAAGTAATGCGAGTTATCAGAATATGGGATTTCACACGTGTGTGAACCAATATTCCTACCCTTTAATTTGGGGGGGGGTAGTTTTGTGGTTGTACTCATTCTGGAGCCTTTCTGTTTTTTAACTATGGTTTATTTCTAAACTTTATCAGCTTAAACAAGTATACAGTATTGTACTTTTCTAGGAGAACGTAAATGTTTTGTCATTCAATTCATAATGCAGCATGAATTCAAAAAATGTATGCACACTTAACATTAAGATTTTTGGAAAGATAAATTTATAACTAATAATAACCATATATTTCAAAAGATTGATATTTGAAATTTGCATCACATTTTATAAACTAACTCCACATTGACTAATCATGATAATATTAACATAAAAAAACTATATTTAAATAAAATAATTGCAGTAAAATAGTAGGAATTGATTTTTAACAATATTTAAATGAAATGTTTAGTAGCCCAAAAAAAAACTGTCATTTTAAGTAGCATTTATAAGTAATAAAACCTATTCACATTAGACAGTCATTTGTATATACTGTAAGACCTACTTCACAATATTAAAAAATTCTAAGTTGATTATAATATAATTTCGTCACTGCAATTTATTTTTTTACCCACAGTACGTCTCCTATTTCCCTGTGAATTTTTGGAAAGGAACCATTTTTTAAGAACGTAAGGTAAGATTGTATTATATTTCCTTTTTGTAAAAAATAATTAAATTTTTTTTCCAAATATGCTAGGTTTGTATTGAAAACGGTAGTTCTAAAACACTGAAATTACCACCAACAATATATTTTTTCTACTATCACATGCATATAACAAAAGGATGAACTTAAAATTTGACATAATTGATTTATTCTTTAAATTTTGAATGATATTATTATTATTATTAAAGGCATACTTTGAGAAAATTATTTTATTTTATAAGGAATGTATAAGGAATGATTTAATAGTGATTTTTCTAAAAATGCAAGTAACTGTGGCCAGTACAACCTTAAAACAAAAACCTTCCAGTGGAAAAATTACATGTCCATGTTGGCAAAATGGCTAATGTTAAAACAATTCGAGTACTTTGATGTATATTTCTTGAATATATATGGACTTTCATTATACAAGTAAATGTATGGTTTTAATAATATGATAAAATGTATTATTTTCTCATTATTCTTGAGGCATGTATTAATATTCTCCCTTCTTGACCTAATTGTAATTTTAAGTTAAAAGTCTAATGCAAGATGGAACTTTCTAAGATTGGTAGAATAGCTCAGAAAATCAGTGAAAGCATGACTAAAACACTGCAATAAGTTGTGCAGCCTGAGGAGAGTAATGGACAGTAAGGTCAAGTTGAAACCAGAAATATTGAGTGCCAACTGACCTTATAATTGATAAAGACCCACATTTTAGTCTCAGAAAAAAATTCATATAAATGATTAAAGTCAGTTAAAAATTAGTGGCACGATCATTAACAAAGAGATTTGTTCCAGGCTTGCAGTTTCAAACTCTCTGATTGATTACAACTCCCAACATTTCTAATTAACCAGGTTTCAAGAAAGTACAAACCTAAAAGCTCCTGTTCTCAAGGTCTAACTCCTCAGTCTTCAGTTCTCTCTCTCCAGGGAATGATTACATTTCAATGTGAGACCGTTATTGGCTATTGCCAAAATATCTGATTGGCTTATAAACATAGTGACAGATGATTTAAGTATGATCATAATTACACTGACAAAGACCTTAGTATCATCCACTGACATCATTTTGCTTACTGTGAGAATAAAATCACAATTAATTCTTACGAGGTGTAAGCTGGAATTACCATAAACAAACTTAAGAAACAAATTAACTAAAGCATGGGAAGAGATAGGTAAAATATAAATATAATAAGCAACAAAATGAAAGAATATCATTTTACAATATTCATTACTTACAAACCTGCACAAACACTGACAAACCAAGTTTTTCAGTTGATTTGGTGTGTCTAAAATATAAGATATAATACAAAAGGTTCTAGAAATGGCTATGTTCAGAATAAATTTGAACATGAGGAGCAAACATAAAAAAAGCAATTAAACAGACTCTTTATTCACAAGTAAACAAATGCGAATTTACAAATACCAGACAGCTTCAATGTCCATTATATACAATTACATGGCTACTAAATCAGGAGAGCAAAACATGAACATGAGACAAAGGTAGGTGTAAGAATGATGATAATACCACTGTTTTACATGAGACCAAAGCCCTAGTGCAGTATCCTACAATCCCAGGTTACTAATCTCAAGGATTATTACCATTATGATTGAAATGTTTCTAAGGGAGATGG